CAAATCTCTTTCCTGTCAATGATATTTCAAGAGGAATCCAGGTCTAAAATGAGAAAGAAAAACAGTTGTTTCTTATTTATTTGCTTTGTTTTGTTGTTTTCTTTTGAAGCTAGAAGTACACTGTGAAGATTGTACAATCAGGGAATGGCCTGGGAACCTCAGCTGTGCTAAGCCCTCCTTGCCAGAAGCACTGGAGTCCTGTCTCCTCACTGGGATGGCCAAAGGCTCCTGGGGCTGGAGGGCTGAGCAGGGTTGTAGGGAGTCTTCCTCAGCAATGCCTGTGTCCTGGTGCCTGGCCAGAAGTGGGTTAAGGGCTGCCTGCCTGCTCCATAATTCAGAGAGATTCCAAGGGAGAAATTGTGTCTTTTCTTGCAGGAAATCAGAAGCACAAAGGGAGATGCCTTTGCTACTTCAGCTGTAGAAAGAAGCTGTGTCTTAAGAAAATGTGCCTTTTCTTGCAGGAAATCAGAAGACACAAAGGGAGATGCCTTTGCTACTTCAGCTGTAGAAAGAAGCTGTGTCTTTTGTTACTTGAGCGTTGTCTTTGACTGAGTAAGAAATGCCCAGAGGAAAAGGGCCAGTGTAGACTTTGAGGCAGGAGCATGCTGAGATTTCCCCAGACAGGTTAACAAACTTTTCCAAAGTCATAGTGTCTTTGGAAGCAGCCTTGCTACTGGACCTGTGTGGGAGTTGAACCTACTCACATGATCCATGTGTCAGCTCAGTTGTTTTCTAGTTGTGAATTGATCAGGTCATCGATTTGTTGCAAGCATCAGAATTTGGAAGTATTTTAAGTGGGACAGTCTGTTCTAAGGTCTGGTTTTTGCATTAATTTAGTAATACAAAGCTGAGTGTGCTGCTTGGCCTTTCTCTAACAGCATTTAATAGTGATCTTTCTGAATGTTGTCCTCTTTTTTGAAGATCAAAGTGTTTTGCCTGCTTTTTAAGAAAGCAACCAATTCAGCCCGACTTACAGAAAAAAACACCTGGTAGTATAAGCTTGGGGACCCAGACATGCTTTTCCGTTTACAGGAACGATACAGTTACTTGGCAGAAATGGAGCATAAACAAAGAAAGAAACAGTGAGAACGTGATTACCAGGCACGTGGAAAATTACTTCCAAGCAAGTCTCTTTGAGATCAAGAAGTGTCAAGACAGATCCTGTCCACACTGACCCCAGGCAGGTCACCACTGACCCAAACCCAGCTGAGGGTATGAGCTGGCAAGAGGGCAAACACATACCAGTTTGCAGAAATTAGTTTTGCCATGATGTTCATCCTGAACTAGTGTAAGGAAGAGGTAGAACATCTTGGAAGCAGTTATAATAGCTTCCTTCTGGGAAGAAATTTGATGATTTGCCATTGTTTTTCTGTGGCTGAGATGGATGGTAGAGGTAGATGTGCCATTGTTCACAAATGATGCTGTGACAGTTCCCTCCTCTGGATTGTCATGCCTTGCCTGGAGCCAGCAAGTCTCAAGGCTGCCAAGGGCAGACCACAGTCTAAAACTGTTAGTGAGGAGCCACCAGGCTGCCGTGATACTTTGTGATTGATTGCAGAGCAGGGGTTGCTGCCTCTGCTTGTACCCATTCTAAAATCCTCCACTCTTTAAGAGGCAATGAGAAATGGTGAAATTGTGAACCGAGGGAAACATAGGGCTGCGGAGACCATCAAACCTTTTCCCTGGACAAAACTGTTCTTAGCACCTCTGTGTCTCATGTGCCCTGAAAAATCCCTTCTCTTCTCACAGCTAGAGCATCCTTCTCAGACAGAAGCCCTGCATCTATCCCCTCACGTCAGTGGGGATTTCAGGCCCTTCTCAGTGCTAGTTGCTTGTGAACCCTTCTCTTTAAATTCATCCCAGCTTTTATTTTTGGCTTGTAATACCCCGCCACAGAGGGCTCCTTTAAAAACTGCCTGAAAGCAAGAGAAACACTTTTGCCTGAAGAGTCCCTGAGACTCTGGGACATGCAGTAAAAAAATTTTATTTTCCACTCTCTGTTAATTACTTCCAGAATTTACTGCAGGGTTCCTCTGCCCTCTTAATTGAGGCTGGATATTTCTGGGGTACTGTGAACCCTGCATGTTTCCTCCCCTGCTTGGTAACCCCAGTTTCTGTGGGTGTCCTGGTTCTCCCAGCCCCTTGTGGGAGAGGGTCTGTGGACCCCTGGCCTTAGCATCACTCCTTGCCTGACACCCCACTGGGATTTATCACTTCCTCCAAGGTGGCAGCTTTAGAATCCTGGCAGTGTTTGTGCTGGCTGACACATGAGCAGTGCCTCCCACGAGGATTTCAATAGTCTCCTCCTGCTGCAGTGTCTCTGAGAGTTGAAGTATCTGATCCAATAAAAGATCATGTCTCAGCAGGTGCTGCGGCTTCAGCAAACAAAGGTCTGTCAAGTGTAGAAGGTGGTGTTTATGCATACATTTTAATCCTTGTTTGTTCAGTACTTTTAAGGTGCAAAATACCTCTAAAATGCTGGCTTCTCATTGTTACTATTAGCACTGCATCTTCATTTATTCATGACAAATTAGTGCAACAAGTGGTAGTTCTTCCAAAATTCTTTAGTCACACCATTCCAGATGTCTTGGAGGAATCTGCTCTGACACAAGTGTGCCCCAAGACCCCAGTGCATGCAGCAAGATGAGTTGGAAACCATGTTTCATTTAGAATTGGTATCATGGAAACATGTTGGAATGAGTCACACAGCTGGAACACTGCATTGGAGGGCTACAAACTTTTCAGAAGAGATAGACTGGGAAGGAGCAGAAGTGTTGCACTCCCTGTTGTGGAACGGGTGGATTGTGAAGGGCTGTCTCTGAGAAACAGCTCCAAACAGGTTGCGCTTGTGGGTGAAAGTCAAGGACCACACCAACAAAGGACACCTCGTGGGTGGGGTCTACTACAGGTGTCTGACCAGGGGGAACCTCTTGCTGGGGCCTCTTGGCTCAGCTGCAGGAAGCATTGTGGTCACCAGCTCTCATCCTTGTGGGGGATTTCAACCATCCAGATATCTGCTAGAAAAGCAATGCAGCTGGCTGTAGGCAATCCAGGAGACTCCTGGAGTGCATCAAGGGTAAATTTCAGATATAAGTGTTACCTAAACCAATGAGGGAAGATATGTTAGTGGACCTGGTGCTCACCAATGCAAATGAACTCACTCCAGGGGTTAAGATTGGAGGTGGCCTGGATTGGAGTGAGCGTGCCCTGTCTGGGTTTGTGATCTCAAGAAGCATGGGTGTGGCAAAGAGCAAAGTCAGGACCCTGAACTTTAAAACAGTGAACTTCCAGCTGTTTAAAGAATTAGTGGATGAGATTCTCTGGGAAACTCACTGCCCTGAGTTTATCCCAAATCCTGTCCTTAGCTGACCAGAGCTGGCAACTCTTTAAGGCCACTTTTCTTAGAGCACATGACCTCTCCCTCCCAATGTGTAAGAAATCAAGTAAGGCAGGGCAGAAACCAGCATGGCTGAGCAGGGACCTTCCTCTCAAGCTGATGAGCAAAAGGAAAATGCACAGCTAGTGGAACCAGCATCATATGACTGAGGGAGATACAGGGATACCATTTGGATGGGTTGGGATGGCATCAGGAAATGTAAGGCACAGATAAAATGGGACTTGGCAAGGGATGTGAAGAATAACTGGGAGGGATTCTGCGAGTACAGTGGTCAGAAAAGAAAGACCAAAGAGAGTGTACCATCCCCCCACCCCCTCCAATAAAGGAGAAGGAGAGATGGTGTCAAGGGACGGTATTCTTCCCTTCTTCTCTCATGAGACCCCACCTGGAGTGCTGCATCCAGCTCTGGGGCCCTCAACACAAGAAAGAGTGGATGTGTTGGAATGAGTCCAAAGGAGAGCCATGAACATGGTCAGAGGCATTGACCACCTCTCCTATGAGGACAGGCTGAAAGAGCTGGAGTTGTTCAGCCTGGAGAAGAGAAGGCTCCAGGGAGACTTCCTTGTGACCTTCCTGTACATAAACTGGGTTATAAAAAAGAGGGAGAGCAACTTTTTACATGGGTAGATACTAATGGGACAAGGGAGAATAGTTTTAAAGTGAAAGAGGGCAGATTTAGATCACACATTAGAAAGAAATTCTTTGCTGTGAGGATGATAAAGCAGTGGCATGGGCTGCCTGGAGAATCTGTGGATGCTCTATCCCTGGGAGTGTTCATGGCCAGGCTGGATGGGGCTCTAGGCAGCCTGACCTAGCAGAAGGTGTATCTGTGGGTTCAGAAGATGATCTTTAAGGTCCCTTCCAACGCAAGCCATTGTATGAATCTGATTCTATGAAGTCAGTGTAAAACTGTACAAAAAGATACTGACTGATACACTGCAGTGGGTGACACCAGCAGATAAAGATATTTTTGCAAAACTCTTTCTTCATGATGAGGGCCAGGGAGGAGCACATCCTGGAGAGAAGAGCAACACAAATAGCCTTGGGAGCAAGCTTTGGCTGAGGTGTGTGTTCTGTGTTTGTCTCTTAATTTAGCAGTATTGGGAAAACCCACAAAGGAAAAAATGTGGATATTTTCCAGATGCAGGGTGATTCAGGGCTGTAATTACAAATGCTCGCCTACTGAAATATTTGTACAATTGCCATGGGATACTGTAACTAGCAACATCCATTGGATTGTTTTTAAATCTAAAGCAGTAATACTGTGCTAGTGTACCTGAAGTCTGCACCAGTGCTTGGCAAACCTGCCTCTGCACGGCAGGTTTAGGTTCTGTACAGCTTAAGAAATGATGCTTTTACTGCTCAGCTGCATCAACTGAGAAATCTTTGTCAAACTCATTTGTATCCGAGTCCTGTGCAGAGTGCACTGACTGATTCCACAGTTGCAAGGATTTACTTTATTCCTTTCGGTTTCATTTCAGAAGAGAGTGAATTGGGGAGGGTTGTTTGTTTCGGTTTGGGGTTTTTTTTTTGCTTTTGATTACACCGGGATTCTGTGGGCTAAGAAACCACTAAAAAGGAACAGAATGAGGGTGAGAGATTATGCACGACAGGAATAGAGTCTGTTACAGAGTTGCAGATTGTTTATTGCTGCCGTGCTTTGATAAGTGACAGCAACTGGCTGTAATTCTGCCGGTGCTACAGCTGCTTTGATCAGCAGCGAAGCTGTTAACAGTGCCGACAATTAATTACTGTCGATGGGCATTGCAGCTTGAACTTCCCCTGCCGAACAGTGGCAGATCACACCCGGTCAGGGCTATTGTTTAAGGCTTTCTTTGGACATATCGCTGGGCTGAATCACGTTGTGCTTCTCCTCGGGATTTTCTTCCACAGTCACCGCGGTTAGAGCCGCCCTGGTTTTCTGAGCGAGAGCAGGGCTCGCAGGCAGGGTGCTGGCAGCGTGTGGGAGGTGTGTGTGAGAGCCATGTGCCCCCGGAGCACAGGCTGTGCGTGCCGGTGTCTTCTCTGCCTCCTGTGCTGATCTGCAGCCTGGAGGTGTGGAGCATCCTGGAGGGGACCAGAAAGGATCGTCCCCTGTGACAAACTGGGGAAGGGATGGTGACTCTGAATGCAGGTGTCGTGTGGGAGAGAAGAGTGATCGCCCTCTGAGGCTGTGAGCACTGCGGTGAGTGTCCTTTTCCCCTTCCCCAAGACTGATCCCAACATTCCTACTTTCTTAACACTCTCTAAAATCCTCTCTTTGTGTAGGCTCTTTCTTTATGCCTTTCTGTCTCTCTTTTTTTACCTGACCTCCTCTTCTCCCCCCGTCGCTTATTCTCCTCCTTTCAGTCTCTTCTTTGTTTCTATCCCATGCCTGAGAGGCTGGACAGTCTTAAGCAATTGCAGTGGGTTCTTTGAACATTTATAGCCTTGTGCTTTGGAAACCTTTTACTGGCAGGAATTTTATCTGATGGATTTAAAGGTATCTGAACACCCTATTTGCATTTCTGCCTGTCTGCTCAAAACCACACGGACACTCAGCTCCCTTGAGGCTTGAATTCTGATAGCAGCAGCTGTGGCAGTGGCATCCTGTGATTTGCTTCATCAGTTGACATTTTAAGGAATTTGGACTGATATAACAAGGTTGGCCATCTTACTGCCCTCTGCTGCTAAACAGCTTGGGTACCTTCTCACTGCATAAAGGGTAGGTATAACTGGCTTTATTAGTGAGAGCCCACATGAAAGTGTGCCCCCTCCATATGTTTTTGTTGCTGTTATTATTACTATCCAGCTGTCTGTATTGATTTGTGGTGTATTTTATTCAGCTAAACCCATGATCAGCCCAATCCTTCTCTGTGTCTAGATTGCTTGTAGAATTAGGAGTTTTAGCAGTGTTTTCAAGATCAGGAGGAAATCCTCTCAAAATTAGGTCTTGCCTATGTAAACAACTTGCACTACTTTTTAACTGCTGTTCTGTAATATCGGTACAACCCTCCCCTAGTGTGAATTCAGCTATGCCAGTATGAACATGCTTATACCAGTGTGGCTTGTTCCCCTGTGGGAAAGAAGAACCAGCTCTTCTGGTATACAGCACTTTTTTTTTGGCTCTGATTACATCCACACTTTTGTTGTATCATCAGAAATATAGCAGCAAATAATACTTGTAATTGAACAAGGGTGAACTGGTACAAAATCATGTATAGAACAAGTCTTGGTTTGCAGACTGCCTCAATAACTCTTTGACAAGAAGTGTTGAATATGCTGTGTATTTATAATCTTGTCTTTGTAACCAGAGGTACAGTGGAAAGACTTGGTGTTGCTGACATTATGTATTCACAGTTAAGAAACTAAGAACTGGCCAGTGTGTTGGCTATAAAGTCACGGCTGTGAGTCATGTGAGTCGTGGTTGTTGTTTATTTATAAATAAAGTACCTAAGATTTTAGTCACTTTCAGGCTGATTACTGACCATTGCTTTTATGTGCAGCCAATTGGCAGTGTAGTGGCAGAGATGTAAATTCCAGTAATGCTTGCTTAGAAATGCCTTTGAGCTGTCAGGGAAATAGAGAGGTATTTTAGCAATGTCACAAAAATGAGTCCTGAAAATCCACTTGCACCAGGGAAATGTGACTGCCTGGTGGGTCACTTATCTGTGGTCATCTACGTCAGTCATCAGTAGGGCAGGGCAGTCTAAAGACCAGCAGTACAGAGTGAAACTTTGGAAAATTCCAATCAGACACTATAATCCTAAACATCATGGTTTATCAGTGGGGTTAATCTAGATGATCAGTATGTGTCTTGTGGCAAGGAATGTGTAGGGAATACTCTTGGTGTTTACAGCCAAAGGAGAAATACGTTTGGTATAGAAATCACTTTATATTCAGAGTTTTTTGGGAAGGCAGTGCCACCAGCAGAAATGGTTTTTTGGGAAAGAACTGTCTTAATTGTACACGACTGATGACAGGTGTCTGGGAACATGGGACCTAACTAAAGCTTTTAGGTTCTCTTCTACCAGAGAAAATAAGCAGGGTAGGCTCCTTTTCTTCTGCAAGGTAAGAGGTTATTTTAAGGTATTTTAAGTTATTTCAAGGTGATAGTGACATAAAGGAATTGATGGAGGGGGGAGAAGCTGGTGCCATTAGGGGACTGCAAAGGTTTGTTAGAAGGAACATGCTTTGTTGTGCTGCTTGTTGGCACAGTTACTTTACAGGTTGTTGAGGGAAGTAAATTTTCACAGAACCTAATAGTTTCCTCCTATGAGTTAGTGTCACCTCTGTCTCATTTAATTCCCACCTTTGCTTGCTGTGAGTGCCATTTCCATGCTGCGTTTCTCAACTTCATTACCTCCAAACTGAGCGCTGCTTCAGGAGCAGCTTTCCAAACTGCAAGGGGCTTGTTTTGCAGAGTAAGGTGCAAATCTCCTGTGCTGTTTTTTCCCTGAGCTCACTGATTCCCCACGACTGCAGTGATGGTGGCAGAGGTGACTCCCGTGAGCAGGCTGGGTCTCTGCCTGCCGGCTGGGGCTGCAGCTGGGGCTGCTGGGGTGGCACAGGCTGACAGCAGGTGGTAAAACTGCTGTATGGTTGTCAAGAGCAAGCAGCTGACCTTGAGCAAATCTGCAGCTGGGTTGTAACCCAGCCAAGTGTCCAGCTTGCCCTGGTCTTTGCTGCCTCTTTCTAGGAGGAAAGTGATCTGTGGGAGTCCTTTTGCTGGGTTACATTACTTCTTTCCCTGAGCTACCTCATGGGTTTTGTCTGTTCTGTTTGCATCAGGTGGGAACTGCAAGCTGTCAACAGCTGTTCTTCCACCTTAAAGACTCCAACAACACTGGCAGTCCTGGAAGGAGAGCCAGAGATATCAGACAGGTTCTTGCCTGCATCTCTTGGCAGCATGGTTTGCAGTCAGGACAGTTTATGTGAGATTGACAGACAGAGGCAGTCTCAGCTTGGCCCCACTCCCACAGGAGTTTGCAGAATCAACTGCTGAGCAGCTTTGGAAAGCTCCCTTTTATTAGTCTGCTCGCCTCCACTTTTAACCAGATAGGAAATTGTTCATTATAAAAGGCCCAGTTTTCCTTACAGCGGTCTCATCACTGCTGTCTGAGGAGTGAAGCTGTTAATATCTGTGTTTACACATTTCTCTAAAGATGAAGAGATGAGTGCAGTGGAAGATTAGTTTTGCTGCAAAAGGCACTGAATGAGCTGACCTGATCAAGGGGAAGACATTAAAATGTTACGCTTTTTAGTTTTCTCTGCTTCACTCAGACATTAGCTGCTGTGGTCTGATGCTGTTTAGCAAATACATTCGGGTCCAAGTGCTGCTTGAGATGATAGAAACCCAATATGCTTTTAGAGGCAGAGGCAATTATTTGTTATGTGTTTGTACAGCTCCTAACACTGTGGGTTGCTGTGCCTCCTGATTGCTAATGGCTGAGCAATAGTGTTTGTTACTGGCAATTGGTAAAAGCAGCCTGTGTTTGTGCCCTGTAGGGGAATTTGGTACATGTGCACAGCCATGGGATGTTAAAGATATTGTACCTTTTAGAGGCACCACGAAGTCTGCACAGACCATCTAGCCTTCTGCCATTTTAAGTGCTTCCTTACTTCATTTAAGAGATATTTGTTTATTCTTTCCCCTGTTGCCCTCCCAAACTTTTCAAATCTTTCCCATCTGGGCTCTTTTGTTTATAAATTCTTCTGTGTTTGGAGCTTGTAGGCAGCAACCACTTTGAAGCCTGCTTTCCTAATACAAACCAAATAGCTGCCAGGAAGCATCGTGGGCTCTTGCTCTGCTCTGTCCTCTCTTTACAGCACTGCAGGTCTCTGAAATTGCCTCTGTTCTACCAGTTGGATGCTCAGCCATGCACTACCAGTCAGCATCAGCATCACCCTGCCTAGGAGGCCACAAAACTTCCCTGATTTACACACCCTGAGGATCTGACAGAGCACAGATATTTTCATTCATTTGGGTTTGTTTGTCTTGAGAAATCAGTGTGGCAGCTCCCTCCTGTTGCATGAGACCCACACAGCTGCAGCCTATCCCTTTTTTCCTGGTATGGAAAAGAAGAGCTGGTCAGCCCTGAGAGGGCCTGAAGTCTGGCCTCATAAAAACTGTCACCTTTTAGCCATTCTCTTTGTCACTTCCTTTCCATAGCAGAGATAATGGAAGTGTTTCCTGCTAACTCCTGTCTCTGTGATAAATTGCTGTGTCCTTTATTGGAAAGCATTGTATAACTGCTCTTAACACTGCGATAAAGAAAACGCTGTGAACTGGCTGCATTGTGTTTGGCTTCCTTTCAGACAAGGCCAGTCTGGATGCTGAGGACCTGATCTTCCTTTTGGGTCAGACCTCAGCTGACATTTGTGTGGGAGGCAGGGATTTATGTTTGCTTAATGCCACATTTTTGCTTTTACCATGGAGCTGCTGAAGGTCAGTGTGATCTGTAAATCTATAGAAGCGGGGTCTGCAGGTGCCCCTTGTTCTCCATCTCCTCCTTTGAGCTCTCCTGTGGCATGGACATCCTTGCGTTGGTGTTGTGCTGCGTGGTGAGGGCTTCCCTACCCTCCCCAGCTGGGAGCTCCAGGCAGGACTGATTTTGACCTCCCTTGTATTTCCAGTTGCCTGTGCTTATAGCCAGGAGGGTTTGTAGCCAAGCTATACTGTTGTTCCAGTTCAGATTCTTTTGCCTGGATCTTCCCATTCAGTGACATAAAAAGCTGGTGTCAGTATAGGTTAGCTTTAAAGTGATGAGAAGAGTCCTATTCCTGAATTCCACAGATTTCAGATTTGTTGTCTTGTATCAAAAGCTGTATTGTTAGGTTTGCTGCCCACAAAACCAGGAATCCTTGTGATTCTCCAGGGCTTTAGCTTATGGCTGATAACTCGGTTTCAGTCTTGTTTATGTCCAGCATGCTGCACCTGGTAGTGGAACAATTGTATGAGTACAGAGAGGTCACAGGCAAAAATACTGGGATAATTGTAGTTGAACAAGTGGAAGGAGATGGGAAAAGGCAAATACACAGTTAAATATGTATGACATGGGTGTGCTCATCCACCTGTGTGCCTAAAACTCCCGCTGGCTGAGTTGAAGGAAAGCCACAATGCAGAGTTCATCCTGTCTGCTTGTTTTCACTGTGTGAGGTAAACTGGGAGAGAAGGAGAGACTGGGGTAGGCACAGGAGGGTTTT